GTCAAGATCAACGACGTATAGTGCTCAATGTGAATGCAGAGCGTAATGGTAATAAAGGTTATGTCAGCGAGAATTTACTCTACCTATATCTTCCTATCCACTCACTCCTGAAGATTGCTACTGCATGTAACAGCTGTAATCATATAATCAATGTAATGTATATAATCAAACCTTAATATTATCATGTAATGTTATAATATTCCATCATACAGTATTATCCTATACCATATCACATCATATTAAATCAAGTCATGTCTTATTACATTACATTTTTTACATCACATCATGTCACTACACATCACATCACATCACAATATGCATATATTAATAATCATGCAGACTACTTTTTAGGCCTAGATATGTTTAGTATTACCACAAGACGGCGTGGAGCAATATCAACATCATTATGCTGCTGATTATTTTGTTTCATTTTTGTCGTCTATCTTTTATTCTCATTTGTCTTTTGAATGGGAAATACCATACGTATACAAAGTGTTATGTGTAATATATTATTCAATATTCGTTAATTTATTGACCACAATATCGCACAAGATCTTTAATACTAAAAATTCACATCGAGAAATATGCACATGCACGACAAGACAATCACGAGAGCATGGTGTATAATGACAATACCAATACCTCTTCATCATCTACCATATCCAATAGTTGAGGGTGGGTTGCTAGTAAAACACTCATAGTATTGGTATATCCTCCCATTGAAGCTAGGTGCAATGGTGTACGCCCATTGTGGTCTCTAATAGAAGCAAACGATAGGGTACTGTACTAGTACGTATAAATGCAGTTAGCAAGAGAAAACAATAAATAGAAATTGAGAATTACAGTGTCCAGGAAAAAAAGCATAGGCCCATGATACTTCAAAGAATATTTATGAACCCTATTACAAAGCATGCCCTTAGATGTGAAGTGATAAAATGAATGACATGTCAGCAAAATGCAGGTAAGTTAAAGTAAAGAAGGATTGTTTTTCAAAATGAAATGTGTTCCAATGAAAAGTCACAAGCAACTGGTATTGTAATAATGATTTCTTTAAAGCAGAGAGGTAAATGAACTCAATAAAATTATTGGTGCACACCAGGAAATAGGAAGGTTGACATGACTAGAGATAAGTTACAAGAAAAAAAGAAGTAAATAAGATAGCGAGAGTCGGCACCATTTGCTGCATCATGAGTCAAGCCCAGTTTAAAATAAAACAACTACGAAACGCTATCACTGGACAGCTTTCAGCAACAGTGCAGCAATTTTATATAAATAAGGTTTTAAGAGTGTGATCGCTATTTCGAGGAACTGTTCAGTAAGCAAAAGCAGTTATAGAATTATATTTCACTATTACAATGGTCTTTGTTAATAGTACTGAGTTTGAGTATGCGCAGTTTTTGTATGTGGTCTCTTTATTACCAGTGCCATAACTGGTGCTCGGTCATCGAATCTTATTATCAGCTGGGTAAAACGAATTTATTTATTACTTTATACATTCATTATACAACTTATTACTTCTTCATATTTTCGTATGTTCAATGATTTAATCATCGCTTGCCATCATATTATTATGAGATGCTATAATTTTTTGACTAATTATATAATTTAATTTAATGTAATTTAGGGTTAGTTGCCTGGCCGTATATAATATATTTTGGCAAGTCTAACTTTATACATTAATTTCAAGTCTGTAAATGTATTGCTCTAATTGAAGCGTATTTGTTGTTTTCGAACGATTATTTTTATTATATATCTAAATTTATAGTACTGATAGCATACTATACTAATATATTACAATACTACTATACTATTATTTTTCATTTCTACTTCACGAATAATAATTATATTGCTATACCATTATTCTATAATAATACTATTTTTTTCATTTCTAAATGTGATAACGACCTTATGTAATAACAGCCAATTGGTTGAAAATTGGTTTCAATAAAGTTATTATATTGTGTTAATATTATTATTAATACCATTATTATCACTATTAATGTTATGTTAGAAATGAACATAGGCCTACTCACTTATGAAGAAGAGCGCCTCTATGTAGCAACAACTGGACAACCTTAGCCTGTCCATGCAAGGCTGCAATATGGAGAGCAGTCTTGCCCTCACCATCGGCTATATTGATAATCATCTGTCCATGTCGACTATCTAGCATTCGTCGGCATGAGTTGAATCTTCCATATCTGTAAAATATTACAATTTTAATAAGGTAACTGTTGTCATTAAGTGCAGTATATTGATAACAGTAGCAAGTTTAGGGAAAATTAAACAATACAGGTGTTAAAATGAAGATGATGACGACGATGATAACGATGAAGGTAATGACGATGACGGTCATCAAGATTATGATGTTGATGAGGAGGATGAGGAGGGCGATAATGAAAATGAAGACAATTGTGATGATGATTTTAGAAAACGTGCTGATAATAATGATATTATTAATGAAGATCAGGAGGATGAAATAGTAACTACGACGACAAAGATAATGATGACGACTTCTACGATGATGATGATAATGAATATGATACACTTTTTTTATAAGAACCAGTAAAATTTTGCACAGGCTCAGTCTTCTTATTTTTTGGCCAATTTCAGGCTTAAAATTCTTATTTTGTTCTTATGTTACACGCTTTTCAAACATGCAAATGTGTTATTGTACCAGTATACACTGTACTGGAATGTAGGTAAAAGTACCCCAGGAAAAACTGGCCCCGAAAAAAAGACCACTGAAAAAACGTTCCCAGAAAAAAGGCCCCGGTAAAAATGGCCCTAAATGACAAGTAGGTACACACCTCCTGTACTGTATTATAGAGGGTATTACATAGTCACACCTACTGCACATAAGGTACAGATATATTTTTTTTTTGTTTTTCTAGTTTTATTTTTTTTTAAATAAAAATCTCATTGGACATTTTACCTCAGCCTCAATTTGTTCGTTCTTAATTCTTAAGCAATTTCAGCCTCAGTGTTCTTATAAAATGTGTTCTTTTAAAAACAAAAAAAAGTGTAATTGATGATGACAACGATGACGATGATAAATGTAGTTACTCACTTGGCTGCAAAATGTAAAGGTGATTGTTTATGTTTGTCTTTGGAGTTGACAGTTGCCCCGAGCTCAATTAGCCCCATTACTGACTTCATGTTTCCTTCTTTGGTAGCGTAATGCATAGGAGTGCACCCGTGACAGTCTTGCATGTTTAGTAATAACCGTGCATCTTTGCCCTGTTAACAATTAAATTTTTCACTATTATATTAAATAAACTTATTAAAAGTTATTTTAATTATTGTCATTATTAAATTAATTAATTAATTATTATTAAATTATTATCAATTTAGTCGATGAAGTTATATTCAGTCATTTATTAATTAATTTCTAAATGGAAGTTTATTGTTAGGTATTTATGTGTAATATGTGTAATACCTTTGTTGTGTGAAGTGATTAATAAAAATTTGTAGTCTAAGTGTTGTTATAAGTGTCATATAGTGTTTACTTATAAGAATAACACGCTATGTATGAGTCACATTACAAAACATTGTTTAAGTTGGTTGGTGACAATTACCGAAATAACAACAAAGCAGAACACAATAAAACTTCTTTACACGCAAAGGTAGTTGATGTGATAAATAGCAGGATAAGGTGTGTATTTAAATGATCCTATGTTATTTAAGTTAGATCTGATACCAACCAACCGAAGGCTAGGCCTATTCCTTATCGATTGTTTATAGTTTCATTTTCACTATTATATTAAATAAACTTATTAAAAGTTATTTTAATTATTGTCATTATGAAATTAATTAATTAATTATTATTAAATTAAATTATTATCAATTTAGTCGATGAAGTTATCTTTAGTCATTTTATTAATTAATTTCTAAATGGAAGTTTATTGTTAGGTGTTTATGTGTAATATGTGTAATACCTTTGTTGTGTGAAGTGATTAATAAAAATTTGTAGTCTAAGTGTTGTTATAAGTGTCATATAGTGTTTATTTATAAGAATAACACGCTATGTATGAGTCACATTAGAAAACATTGTTTAAGTTGGTTGGTGACAATTACCGAAATAACAACAAAGCAGAACACAATAAAACTTCTTTTACACGCAAAGGTAAGTGATGTGATAAATAGCAGAATAAGGTGTGTATTTAAATGATCCTATGCTATTTAAGTTAGATCTGATACCAACCAACCGCAGGCATAGGCCTATTCCTTATCGATTGTTTATAGTTTCATGTTATGAGAGGAAGAACATGAACACATCGATGCAGATAATTTTTAGCCATTTTATCGATTAATGTCTAATTGAAAGTCCGAATTAAATTACTTTATTGACATACACCGGATGAAGGTCAATGTGTGATCGACACTTAGTGATTAATATTTAATATAAAGTTAGAGTCTAAAAATTTATGTTATTATATGTGTCATTTACTGTTTATTTAGTAGACAACACGTACGTTTATTTCAACTAACATTTTATTAATGTAAGATTTTAGTGAAATTGTATTCCATACAGATAAAAAAGTTCGGTTCAATTTATATAAACCGAATAGTTAATTATTATCTTATCTACTTTAGTTATCACACAAGAGCCTTTCAGTTCAACACTAGGTACTTCGATAATATCACCACTTTTTATTTTGGACCAGGGGTAGCGCCAGCAGGAGGGGG